GCCTGAAATATCCTTCTCATGTTCAGCACCAATTTCAGCGATATCTGGATTGCCAAACCCACGCTAAACATTTTGCCAGCACCCTGTACGAATAAGTCAAGTATATTAATATACTATCATTAACAATGAATATCAAGAAACATGAATCAAGCTACATTAAAAATAACATGATACATAAACATCACACTCGGAATGGTAATGAACTGCAATTGACCTACTCTCGAGTGGCTCTTGGTCAGGGATCTGACCAAGTTATCAGGGTACCATTTGCTATAAAAGAGCACTTCAGCTATTTGGAAACATATGTAGTTTCACTGAATTCCAAAGTGCTTTACTTGACAACCTTGCTTGCAACTAATAATAATGACATTTGATAAAATTCACTCAAACAAAAGTATATTTACAACCATCAATTTTAATTTTGAAATAGGTAGGATCTATCTTAAAACAACACAACTCCAAAATGCGATCTTAATCTTCGAAGTGATTCGCTACATAAAACAAAACCAAAGCAATTGCAACTTTCTTCATCACGTGCGTCGCATTGGTTTATGATGCTGTTTGAATTTATTTTGTAGTCCTATAGTTTAANAAATATTTTTCGGACTCGACTACTAGAACAATTCTATTGCATCAGAATGGTTTACTTGATTCTTGTTGTTTGGCACTTGGAATAAGCATCAATTATTTGGTCACCTTACTATCATGTTCACAGTTATACACCAGAAAAAGTTCAAAAGAGGTATTTGAGAAATCGTGTTTTCGAAATGAAATTCTCAATTGCAAATCAGAATTATTCCAAAATTATGAATGATGTGAAGTTGATAAGTTGATTGATCTGTTCAAATATGTTTAAAATCTGTTTGAAATCTGTTTTTCCATTAATCAGCTGCAGCCCCCATACGAACGACAACTCTCAGAAGTTGAGAAACTTGTGCGAGCTAAGGACTAACGAGGTCTCACCTTTTACCGTGTGATTCCTAACATGACAAACGGACAAATCAACTGTCCTGGATTTGGAACCTGTTTGGAACCCTTGGTGTAGTGATGAATATTACTGGAGTTATATCGTCACAACAAACAGTTATTTTTAACACCTCAACACGTGTTTCAATCAGCAAGAGATCATCTTCAAGAGGAAGATTAAACTAAATATATTTACAATGTTATCGTTATTTATACCATAGATACAATTCTAGGTGCCTGCATCTTAAGTGTATTAAATTAATTTTACAATGTGTCCTTTTGTAAACGTCAGGTAAATCTAATAACTAAAATATTATTTTAACAAGCTATATACTATTAGGTATTGGTCCACCATCGTTATTCATTATATTATAATTTTTTACTTATTTGTACACGCTCATAGACATCTAGATGCCTGTTTTTGTTAACTTGTCCAACTAATCTTAATAACTAGTTCAGTGCAAGATAGTGACCATCATCGACCTAAAGTCAATGATATTCCATAATTGAAAATCGAAATACTTTCAGAGTAGTTCATTCCTCGTCTTAAGTTGGAGAGAACATCACTGACGAGTGCTTAAGGAGCCCGAAACCGGTCTGCAAGTGTGCCCGTTCCAAAATTGAAGGTCGACTCTTTCAGTTGTATTGCCAATTGCATATGCAAGAAATTTTCTGAGAAGATTCCTGCACTCACGCCTGTCGGATAGAATCCAACGCCGTTCGTGGTATTGGCCAGTGGAGTAGTTGTTTTCTGATAGGCGTCAGTCCATTCAACCTACTGTGTAGGTATAACCGAGACGGACTTGGACATTTAAAGTTCATTTCTTTAGATTTGTTTACTGCCCGTCTTCAAGCATAACCCACTGACTAATAAGAAAGTTTTTCTTCCTTATTCAGAGGAATCTGGCAAATTTCGGATATGCAGTTGGTTAGTACCTCGTCCACTAGATGGAGTGACATTTTTGATGTTCGCTCCAACTCAAGACTAGGAATGAAATACTCTGAAAGAATTTCGATTTTCAATTATGGAATATCATTGATTTTAAATAGATGATGGTCACTATCTTGCACTAACGAGTGGCCCGAAACCGGTCTGCAAGTGTGGCAGTTCCAAAATTGAAGGTCGACTCTTTCAGTTGTATTGCCAATTGCATATGCAGGAAATTTTCTGTAAAGATTTCTGTAAAGACGCCTGTCGGATATAATCCAACGCCCTTCGTGGTATAGGCTAGTGGAGTAGTTGTTTTCTGATAGGCGTACCTATCAAGGAAGAAATTTAGCACCTCTTTTATTCTTACTCTTCATTAACGACATAGGAAATAATCTCTCTAGCAATTTCTTACTCTTTGCATATGATTTGAAAATCTTTCGGCCCCTTACATCACAGGAGGACTGCTTAATCTTACAAAAAGACCTTGACTTTTTGTACGATTGGTGTACCGAAAATAATCTTCCCCTCAATACAAATAAATGTAAATACTCAAAATACACCCTTAAACATGTTATTTCTCATGATTACTGCATTCTCCATCCACTATGACACAATAACATGCTCAGCCAAACGGATGCTAGGGCTCAGTTATCGTAACTGTAAGAACTTTCGTAGCAGATACAGTTTTTTAACAAACAAAATCGAGTCTATACAAAGAGGCTTCATGAAATATATTACTTACAAGCTAGAAGGAGTTTACCCTCAAAAAGGCATCGACAACAGAATACTACTGAATAACTTTAATCTATTATACCTTCAAAACCGAAGAACCTACCACTCTATAATTTTCATTTATAAACTAGTGAATAATCTGATTGACTGTCCCGAACTACTCTCCTACTTCAACTTTTATGTTCCACAAATCAATTCTAGAAATGAACTGACTTTTTATCTACCAAATTCTAGAACAAACATATTACTCAAGTCACCAGTTGTTGCAATGAGCAAACTTTACAATCAACTCTATGCAAAACAGATTTCAAACAAGAGAGATGTGTATTGTGTGTATATAGGCAGATATAAACTGTAACATGCTTGTTAATAATATTAATATGACTTGTTATTGGGATTTATTCCTGTTTAGGCATTAAACATTTTTTTTATAACATATGCATTTATAGTCTGGTGGCCAAAGATGAAACAAATGACTACTATTAACAAATAAAACATGGGGAAACCGGAAGCAATGGACAAACACTCTTGAATCTTTCTCCTTTACATCTTATAATAATAATATACTTTATTGTCATTAAGAATAAATCTTGTGGACAAAGCTTGTGAAAAATAAATATAAATGTGAGTATAGAAATACGAAATGTGAATATAAACGCACCTACAAAAAAGTAAAGTTAGAACATACACTATAGTTCAACATCGAAATTTTGTCTCAACATGGTTGTGTACATATAATCACACGTTAAAAGATAAGCCCTCGTTAGTCCTTAGCTCAACTTCTGAGAGTTGTCGTTCGTATGGGGACGACAGCTGATTAACGAAAAAACAGATTTTAAACTAAACATTTTGTTGGTCAAATTTACCTGTCTTATATCTGAGGGCAAGCGATTAAACATCTTGACCCCATTGTAATAAATAGAATTCCTGACCAAATTTGTTAAAGGAATTGGAAATTTCAACGCGGTGGAACGGGTGCTATAAGAATGGCATGAAGCCTCAAACAGGGACATATTTTTGTAAATGAGGCAAACCGTTTCCAAAATGAACAAAACAATCACTGTTGAAATATTTTGCCCAGCGAATTTGTGTCTGCATGAATCACGAGCTTTAATCTCACACATATACCTGATAGCCCGTTTCTGCAGTTCTAATACAGACAGAAGTGCTGATGAATTGCATACTGCTCAAAACGGTATTTCATAAACTAGGTGGGTTTCAACAAGGGGGGTAATACACCGTTCTGGCAGTTTTGATTCCCAAATTTTTTGAAGTTTCTCTCACTGCATAACATCCAGGACAAATTTTAGGTTTAAGTTGTTTAAAATGCTCAATAAATTTGAGCTTGTTGTCAATGTGAATACCTAGAAATTTAGACTGAGTCTCGTTCTTGATCACTAAGTTATCACCAAATGACAGGTCATCAAGAGCACATCTAAATGATGTGCAAATTAGCAATCTAATGTGCAATCTAAATGTGATAGCAAATTAGCATCACACCACTCAGTAGATATTGCATTGTGTAAATAATCTGAGTTTTTGTTGTTCCACAATATCGTTGTGACATCAGCGAAAAGAGTGAAATTTCCATAAATGCTCAAATTTGCAATGTCATTGACATATGGTAAGAATAAGATGGGTCCCAAAACTGATCCTTGTGGAAGGCCACACAAAATTTCCCCTTTTTTTCTGGAAGTTCTGTTGTTCTTACCACTTGATTCCTTCCTGAAAGGTAAGATCAAAATCATTTGAGCGTCATTTCTCTGCAGCCGTATTGGTGAATGTTTCTTATAAAGATCTTATGATCAACACAATCAAACGCCTTAGAAAGATCACAGAAGACGGCAACTGCCAGACTACCAGAATTAAAATTTGAGTAAATATCATAAAGAAATGAAAAATGGCGTCATGCGTATTTTTATTGCTTTGGAAACTGAACTAGCTTTCACTTAAAATATAATGGTGTTGTAGAAAAACTGTCAGATATTTTCACAAGTTTTTCGATAACTTTGGCTATAGTTGGAATGAGAGAGATCGGGCGAAGGTTCGCGGGATCATCTGAATATCCACCTTTATATAACGGAAGGATAACAAATGTTTTCAGAAAATTAGGAAAAATTCCATTGTGGAAAGAGGTGTTGATTAGAGATACCATAGTTTGCAGTGCCTCAATTGGAAGATTTTGAATAATTTTTATGGAGATTCCATCATAACCAGTTGCATTTTTATTATTTATATTCCTCAAAATTTCTACTAATTCACTAATACTTGTATCGTACAGTGGGGTTAACTAGAGTGGGCCAATTCTCAGATTAGAAAATTCACCAAGTTACGGAGGATCGAGCAAAACAGCAAATTAGAAATATTTGGAGGAACAAACATCAAACATATTTTTGGTCCACAAGACACCAAAATACATGTTCGACACAAACTTTGCTATTAAAGTCTTGAAACGCGAAAAGTATTACAGAAAACAAAAGAGTAGATGAGGTGCCGGATAATCAGATTAGTAAGTGGGTTTATGAGAAACATAAAGAGTACTAGGAAAATAATCTCGGGAACACAAAGGAAACACTTTATAAAGGGACTGTGGAAGAACATAACTGAAGAACTGTTTCAGCAAAGCAGGAATCGGCTCAGAACAATTACAGGTCTACTCACTGGACACTATACATTTAGAGGACACCTGAACAAATTAGGGTTGTACAACGGAGACCTTGGCTGCGGGTAATGCAATAAAGGGGCAGATATTTTATGCAAATGTTGGGCATTGGATCATAGAAATCAAAACATGAATAACCAAACTAAATAATGAATAGAAGAATATGACATACATTCAGAAGTCAAACAAAATTGTTGGATGGATTGGGTGTCATGAAATCAGGAAAAAACGCAATTTGCCCATGGGGTTGAAGTGTTTTCCGGAGACTTGGGAAAAATATATATCCTTTGGTTCTGAATTGGATGTCCAATTGGACTGAATCATTTTGAAGATGAGTTGAGTCACAGAGTGTGTTTAATTTCTTGTTTTCACTGTTCTCTTATCATTTCTGGTTGGATTTTTACAGTCATGTTATAATTTATGAAAATTTATTGAGTCGTTTCCTCTCATATTCATGCTGACTTTAATGGAATATTGAAGAGAATTTGTGAAATCCAAGAACTTATTCAGTTGCCATTTTGTTCTTGTAAAACATACTAGAATGTCATCGACATATCTACACAAAAATAAAAAGTTCACACCAGCGGGCTAATGTATATTTTACGTTCCACATCATTCATAAAAATTTATGCCATTATGACATTCAGTAAGTTTTTCATTACAAGACTTTTACAGGATGAATAAGGTTTTTCGTTGAATTGGAATCAATTCTGCAATGTGTACACAAATATTTTTATATGAACACTGAATTATACAAAAACACTTTTCTCTACTCGGTTTATATTCCAAACATTCGTAATGGGATCGAATCAGATATCATTCACAGGATTCCTACACAATATAATTAATGAAATAAGTAAAATTTCACTTACATGGATTCATTTACTTATTTGATTAAATACCCGCCAAAAGAATCTTGTTTAGATTGAAAGGAATATATTTCACTTACATGGAACACTGTCATCCTCACTGCTAAACATCCTCCGATGTTTCAAGACACTTGCCTTATAGGTTCTACAGTAGCAAATACGGGTAACATTATAAGATAAACACTCGTTTATAATTACGGCTTTTTGTCACGGAATGGGTTAAATCAATCCATCCATGTCATCGATGACAGTATGTAAATAATATTCATTCGCTTAATTGATTAAATCCCAGCCATAGGAATCTTGTTTAAATGGAATGGGTATATATTTAGGAGAAATAAATTTTTGGGAAAGAAAAATTGTGGCTTTCTACTTCTCAATCTTGATACAAAGAAATGTGGGAATCTTCCAAAGAAAGGAAAGAAGCAATAAATTTCAATCTGAACAAGATTCCTTTGGCTGGGATTCAATCGAATGAATGAATGAATTTCATTACATACTGTCATCGATGACATGGGTAGATCACACTCACTCCGTGACATAAAGTCTTTATTTAATGAATAAATTGAGTGTTTTTTTCGTATAATGTTATCCAGATTTGGTACTGATAAGGCAAGTGTCTTATGTGAGGATGACAGAGTTTCATGTAAGTGAAATTTATACCTCTTTCATTAATTATATTGTGTAGGAATCCTGTGAATGACATCTGATTCGATTGCATTACGAATTTTTGGAATACAAACTGAATAGAAAAAAGGTTTTTTGTGTAATTCAGTGTTAATACAAGTATGTATTTCGAAAGTATTTTTCTTTCATGTAATTCAATATTTATATGATATTAGCTGTTTCAAGAAGGCTTTTTCTTCCAGTTTATGTCTGAAAGGAACTTTTTTCATGATCTACATATCTTTGTATAGAGTTAACTTTTTGAAATTTATTGCTTCCTTTCTTTTTTTAGAAGATTTCCACATTTTTTGTAACGAGATGGAGGAGAAGAAAGCTGAAATCTTTCTTTCCCAAAAATTAATCTAATCTAAAATACATGCTGCAACTACCCGGAAATGCAATTCCACACCTCAAATATGATTCAAATAAACATTGGCCAGAGGAATAAAATTTAATTCAGCAAACAATGGCTTGCAGAAATTCCTGGGTGATACATTTTTTATAGTTCTTACTGCTTTTTTCTGAATAAGAAATAGATACTGTGCAGTCGGAGAGTTTCCCCATAGTAAAATGCCATAAAGTAGAATAGACTGGATTTCAGCAAAGTAGAAATTTCTCAGACTGCCGATATCAACCACATTCCGCATACATCGAATTTGATATATTTCTGTATTTAATTTATTTATAGTTGCTGTGATATGCTCATTCCAGCTGAGATCGTCTTCTAGGGTTATTTCCAAGAATTTTGTTGTTGATTTTCTGATAATATTTAAATCATTCAGTTTGAGAGTGAATTGTTTATTATTCTTTATCTGGCGTAAAAGATTAGATATTCAGTTTTTATATTGAAATGTAGTTGATTAGCTGAAAACCACAATCCTAGTTTACCAAGAAGATGGTTACAAGCTTGTTCATTCATTTCACTGCATTCCTGGGAGACAAGAAAAGATAAGTCATTGGCATACAGAGTGATGTTATACTCAGGTAAAAATTTCAGTATGTCAGCAATGAATAAAGAAAATAGTATTGGGGCCAAAACAGTACCCTGTGGCACTCCCAGCTCCAGTTGCGAGGCATCTGAGCAGTACTTACTAATAAATCCGTCAACTTCTTTGAAACAAATTTGGACAAACTGACTTCTATCTGAAGGAAAAAGCACCACCGATGCGGTATTTTCATTTATGCAGCAGACATACAGCAATTTAAATTCAGGGGAAGCTACGGCAGCGGTGTTCTGTGATTTGTCGAAAGCCTTTGACTGTGTAAATCATGGAATACTGCTAAAAAAGCTTCACCACTATGGGATAAGAGACAAGGGTTTGTCGTGNAACTCTATCTTTACCAAATTCCTTTATTAAAGCAGATGGAATTTCATCTGGACCTGTAGACATTCTATTTTTTAGCTTTGATACGACAGATTTTTAAACAGATTTCATCTTCAGTAAATGGCATCAAAGCAATATAGTTTGTATTGCTTTTCCCCGAAAAATCAAATTTACCCATTTTTTTATGGACTTTGCTACACTCCTAGGTGCTTCGGTAAAAAAAAATTGTTGAATGTGTCAGCTATTATCTTGGGGTTGGTAATTTCACTATTATCATGCAGAATTTTCAAGTTAGAAGAGTTACATGTTTCATTTCTTAGCTTAATATCATTGATATTACTATTAGGTCCCACTATATGTTTTTGTTTTAATTGTGAAACCATAATATTAAAGGTTTTGCAGTAGTATCCCACAACCAACGCATTCAGAGGTGACATATTTTATGAATATTTTCACAAAAACTACAAAAATAGAGTATTATAATGTAGGATAGCGTTTTTTTATTTTCTAATTAATGTTTATTTCTTAGTTTAAATGCATTAAATTGCTCTTGCCAACAGTGCCCTTAAGTAATGTTCAATTTCTGGGAAAACCGACGGTCACGACAACTCAGACAAATGCAGGTACAAAGGCAGTCAGCCCTAAGAGTTCACGACGTTAATGACGAATCGACAGACAAGTCGATATTTTCTTTTTACGTTTTTATTCAGTGATGGATACAATTTGTAGTAATAACTAACTGATGTTCTTATGTGCCGTATACCAATGTTCTAATTGTGCCAGTGTTCAATCAGTTATTGTTTTTCTATCATTAATATACGTTTTTAATATTGTTGCATCTGAGTCCTAATTAATATATTCCCTAGATAACGATAACAAACCTACAATAATTTTTCAAAGTGTTAATAACATGTATCTCTATTTTTTATCAAACTTGCATCAAACTGCTAAATCATTTATGCATTGATCTCCACAAATTAAGTTTTTAAATGTATCACGACATGTTTCTCTAACACTGTAGAGATCAAATCTTAAGGTGTGGTTTATGAAATAACCAATACAATATTGAACAGAAAAATAACTACATAAATGATTTAGCAATTTGATGCAAGTTTGGTAGTGAATTACGTACGTCCGTACGTATGTAAGCTACTGTGTTAGCGGAACATGTCCTGTGTTGCTGTTCTATTCCCAGAAAATAATTCCTTTATTTTGTATCTGATGCAAAATGAGCAAAGTAAAGAATTTTACTCACTTTTCATCAAAGCACGTGTTAAATATTGTAAATATCTCACTAATTTCATTTGACATAGTGTATGAAAAAAGAAAATATGTATATTACTCACTTGCATGGTGTAATATAAACAGCTGAAGGGATGGGGGCACGCATTATGCCTCTCACAGCACTTGATTCTATAAACAATCTTCTTATAAATACGCAACATCTGATTAACGATATGAAACACTATATTTTTCTGTTTCCTTGTCTGCCAACTAGCTGATGAACTATTTGGATTATTTTGAACTTGCTGCCTGTAAAAACCACTGGCTTGACTAGACCTAACACTGTAATCCTTCTCTTCATATGGTCCCACTACAAACCTGAAAAATTAATAAATAAGTATGGTTACAGGCTACATTCTGTATCATAGAAAAACAGGTGTAAATGTAACTCTAATGAATTTTTTGAGTTTTATTCAGTTTCAGGTTAAGTTACAGGTTAGATTCTATAACTTGTAATATATATTGCGTTATCTGTAAAAGGTACCTATTTATTGTCGCTTGCCCACCTACTAATAGCTCATATCGAGATCCTAAACAACCACCCGATAGCTGCTGCCACTAACGGAAAAATTAGAAACTTTGTTGGTCCTTGACCAAGGTATTTTAATCATTTTCAGTTGGAAATCGACAATGATACTCGAACTGTGAATTTAACTTAGGGATTTTCGTAAACGCTATAAGCGGTTGTAAATCACATGTTCACAGAAACGGATTCGTAATAGTGCTGATTTGGAAGGTTGAGAATTCCGTTTTCTTATCTCTTCGGAGGATATTTATATCAGTTTTTTCCAACTGTATATGAAAACGTCTTCGAATTATTAGGGTTCGATAATCGGAGGTGAGTTTTCAAGTATTATTCCTTGTGTCATCA